GTGCAAAAGAAGTTGGGGTTTCTCCTTCAATCGTTGGATCTTTCCCCCGAAAAGAAGCAGCCCTTGTCGAGGTAATTTTTGGGGTGAACAGAGTTTCAACTCTTTTTCCTGTAAAAAGAAAGTTTCAATCTTTGCATAAGCTCTGTTTTACTCTGTTTTTTTAATCTTTCATTTTTATTTATATGTCAAATTATTCTTTAATTGTGATTGTTATCAGTTGCAATATGGGAATTTTAGGTAGGGAATTTCAGATAAACCGTAGCATGAATTAATTGGTCGAACAATCTCATACTAGTGTTTATTGTCTTTTTATTGCATGCTGTCATGTTTCTCTTGTCCATGGCAATGGGTTATTCAAAATCAATGTGAAAGTATTTTTGGAGGCTGTTCTTCTAGGAAGGGACTAAATTTTGGTTTCTCTTTCCTGGATCCTTAATTTGGTTCTTCTCTATACTTTGTTTAGACCACTCTGCTCAAACTTTGTCTTTAAGATTTTAAACTCTATTTCTTTTGGTCTTGTATTCTCAACTTGGTATATCTTGTTGTATCCACCAAATGCTGGTTTCCTGATGCTCAGCTATTGATTAGCTGTAAGTATAAAGATCTCACTGTTTGATGCATACTTAGCTTTGCTAATTCCAGCTAGTATGATCTGTTCTCCTTCATTTTTTGACAATGACTTCATTTCTTTTCTCTCTGCAGTTCTTCATGGATGACTGCTTACAAAGGCTTATTGATAGAATTGACTCCGGAGAGGAATTACAAAACTTGATTCCTAGCCAGCGTATCTCTAAGCTTGTAAGGATTCGCCTAGAAATGCAAGCGCCCTACATATCAAAATGGCCTCAAGCTCTCAGCATTCAAGTACCAGTTCTTATACCTTTTTTCTTGTTAAAGTACTAGTTTACTTTGTCAAAGCCTTCACTCTTCAAGACAATTGTTTTCTAACATTCTTTTGTAGGCACATCCATTGAATGTTTCAACAAGCTTTAAGCAGCGGGCAATGCTGGTTGATGAAATCTGGCATGCTGCTGATTATGAGGCATCTGATGTAGATTGGTATGTGAAGCGCACTGTCCTTGGTGGGATATACTCAACAACAGAGATTTACATGCTGACTGACAGCTCGCCAGGTTTATTTCCTTTTACCTTTATGTGATTACTTTGATGTGTATACATCTTTGTCTCATCAGTGACTTTCTTGTGGAGATGCAACCTTTGAGATAGTATTTTATTTACTCACCATTTTCTGGCAGAGTTTCATGATACATGGCTGTTTTTGGATGATCGGGTGAAAGATGCTTTTGATCTGAAGAAGACAATCCAGGAGGTGGTTTTTCTCTCCATTCCTTTTCCTTTTCCTTTTTAAAAACTTTCTGTAAAAATGGGAATCTGTTTTAGAATTCTAAATGACGTGACATTGTTACAGGCAAAGTATTTGGCAGAAGCTGTTGGTGCTGGAATGGGGAGTTCTTTGCAAGGATTTGTGAGCAGAGTGCTTCGGAGAGGAAATTAAAGTTGGGATGGTTCATGATATTTTTATAACTAGCATCAGTCTCAAATTTCTCTCGATGAGCTATTAAAACTAGGAGCTCTCACAAGTTAGTTGGTAGTATTTTGATGGACCCTCAATGGCTCTCAATGTTACCATGGCCTATATGCCTTGGTTGTAGCCATTGTTTGCCAGAGATTAGGTTTAAAAATATGTTCCTGGCAAGGGTTTTAGTGCTTATACCAAATACCTGACAATTTTGTTAGCATATTCGTCTTGTTGGCAATGTGATTACATTAATTTCTTTTGATAGATGCAGGCACGCACAATAATCATTTGTTAACAGGATCTTGTTCTTCACATGATATATTATAAGTTGTTGATAGCTTAAGCCTGTCATTATGGTGTACTCGAATTGTGAACTTTTTAAGATGTTCTGCCCTTTGTTCAAGATCCCAAGGGCAAGTCCAATCTCAAACTCGACAAACTTGACTTGATCCGTGGGAAAGTTTATGCAGGAGAGTCCATGCGAAATGAGGCTTGCTTCTAGTACGACCAAAACTTCAGGCATTAAGAGTAAAAAAGTGTGAAATTTTGGCGAAATATTTGCATCGGTTGTTATTTTCTTTCATTTGTAACCTGTTGGGGTTCTTTTCCAGAGGTGTAGTATTGTTTCCCCCTGTTTAACCAAAGCCCCTTCTCCGCCCAGCTGATAAACAGATGCCCTTTTAGATTGACTTCTCGATGTGCGAGGGCATTCCCCAAAAGCAACCAAAAGTTAGGAATTTTAAAATAATCAAAATACTTGAAAAGTTTTTGTACAAGAATGTTTTGTTTAATTTAGTCTCTCTATTCAAAATTATAACAATTTAATTTTTTAATTTTAAAAATTATTTCAATTTAGTCCTCTTTATTAACATCTAATTTTGTCATTAACAAAGATGATGTCAACGCTGACACTGGTATGTCACATGATTGACTGGGCACTAATATGCTAATGTGCCAGTGTTTAAAAAAAAAAAATTTATCATATCATAGCGATTAAATTAAATAAAAATATAGAATATAGAAAGTAAATTGAAAAAAATATTTAAAAAATATAAATATTTAAGTAGATGATAGATATATTTATTAATAAGTTAAATATTTAAGTGTAAAAGATTTATGATGTTAAAATATATATAAATATTTTCTTAATTATATGATTCTAGAATATATATAATAATTTATATTTTTTGCAAATTTAAGTTTGAATTCTCCTTCGATAAAAAAATTTCGAAAAAAATTTTATACTTAAAACAAAATTTAGATAAATAACTTACATTATATTGGAATAAAATAATATAAAAAGATTAAATAATTTTTTTTGTTTTATTTTTAATAGTATAAAAATTTGAAATTTGTTTGACTTAGTTTTTAGCTTGAGCTGAATTCAAATTAGCCAAATAGGTTGATTTAGTTACAAATTTTATAATTTACAAATATCTATTCTTTTAGAATTATTCAACCCTTAATTTATCTTTTATTTAAATTTACTCAAATTTTCTTATAAAACGATTTTATTTAAGTTTAAAAGACCACAATCAAATTTTACCAAATTTAAATTTAAATTATTAATTTGGATCTAGGAAAAATTTGTAAATACAAAATAAAATGGTACAAATAGTTACAATTATATTTAACTCTATCGGCCATAAATTTAGTTTTTAATCCAAAAAGTTTCAACTTAAAAAATATAACCTGAAACATTAATCAAAATAAAAACATAAAAAATTAAAGTGGTGGAGTAACTCAGATTCTATGATTGTAATAAAAGGTTCGTCATACTTATATTAAGCAAGTTAGAATGAAGAATTAATCATCGCTAACTTTATATCTCCCTTTTTCATTTTTTAAAAGAAAAAACTAAATCAACCTATTTTGTTTATTTGAGTTGAGTTCAAGTTAAAATTAAGTCAAATAAATTTCAAATTTTTATACTAGTATAAATAGAAAAAAAATTATTTAATTTTTTATATTATTTTATTTTAATATAATGTAAGTTATTCATCTAAATTTGATTTTCGGTATGAAATTTTTTTCAAAATTATTTTAATTAAAGGAGAATTCAAACTTGATTTTTGCAAAAAAGATAAATTAATGTACATATTCTAAAATCAAATAATTAAGTAAGAAAATATATTTTTTTTTAACACCATAAATCTTTTACACTTAAATATTTTGCTTATTAATAAGTATATCTATCATCTACTTGAATATTTATATTTTTCAAATATTTTTTTCAATTTAGTCCCTCAACAACTCGATTTTGTTCAATTTAGTCATTGTACTATATATTTTTGTTCAATTTAGTCTCTATGATGTGGTAAATTTTTTTTAAAAATTTTTTTGATCTGTCACGTGACACTAACAAGTGAGCATGTCAGTGCCATGTCAGCATTGCACGTCATCATATTAGTGCCACAAAGTATTGCCATGCCATCATGTTGCTGCCACATGGCACACCATGTCATCATGTTGACGCCACATCATTAAAATGTGTCATGTCAACACCACGTTAACGTTGACATCATCCCCTTTAACAGTAAAATTGGATACTGTTAAAAGGAAGAACTAAATTAAAGTAATTTCCAAAAAATAGGGACTTAATTGTTGTAATTTTGGGTAGAGAGACTAAATTGAACAAAATACTCTAGTACAAGGACTTTCCAGATATTTTGACCATTCTAAAATTCATGCCAAAGTTAACAGCATTGACATTTAATTGTTCTCTTATGCTACCTCTCTATATTAGATATCTTGTACAAGCCAACCTCTTATATGAATCCTCCATTTAATTTCTATTCATAATTCTATATTCCAACTTTCCCAAATAATTCCTCATTAAAATCCCAATTTTTGTCAAGGTTAATGGTCTATTATTCCATCATCTTACCATCTCTCAGAAGTTCATATATAAATTTTTTACTAGTGCTTTCCTTAATGTAGGCCTGTTTTGGTGGTAATGATGTTCCACGTGTGCTTTTTCTGAGCATAACGGGTCATCCATGAAACAAACATGCCATGGCTGGCTTCGGACAAAAAGACATCTACTTCGGAGATAAAGCACAAACAAGGCGAGGAATCCTCAAATTGAGTTACCATATTGATCATGGGATAGTGAGAGACTCGGAAGCTATGGAGACACTTTGGGGGCATACATTTGATACGGAGCTCAGAGTTACTATTGAAGAAAACCCTGTCTTCTTAACTAAGGCTCCATTAAATCCTAGAATTAATTGAGAAAAAAAGTGGTAGAAATCATGTTCGAAGCTTTTGATGTCCCAGCAACATACACAGCTATTCAAGCAATCCTATCCCTCTAGGCCAGTGGTTGAACCATAGGTAAATCGATTTTCTATTGATGAAAATGTAATTATCCTACATATATATGCTATTAAGGTTTCTTGCTATTAAACAAATGGGGCTCTTAAAGTTGTTAGACTTTCCTATATTATTGAAAATTTGAATAGTCTAATTGAAGAGTTAGGCTATAGCATTGACATTGGCCTTCAAGATGTACAATTTCTGGGTTCACCTGTGGTTAATACTACATGAATACTTATATGTGGCCTTTTCCAAGAGTAATGAAGGAAAAGATTTATTTGTTTCTATATTCAAGACAGAATGCTAATTATTGAATATAGCGTTGGAAGAACCAGGTATTTAAATACTTTTGTCAAATGACACAATTCTTGGCATGACAATAAGTTAGAAGATATTAGTGGTGATGGTAATATAAGTCTGATTTAATTGTGAACCTACTTTTGATTTTTGTCTAGTACAACAAAATTTACGTGAGTGCTATTTTATGAATGAAGATGAAACTTCTTTTATGTAACATTTAATTTTATTGTTTCTTTTCATATTGTCTACAAATTTGGAATGAAGGACATTAATTATATAACCCTTACATATGATGTCTTTTTGCAAGCAGTTGTCTACTTGTATGGAGATGGTTGCAAAATTCAAAATCGATCTACAACTATTGAAGTACATCAATTGCTTACGACTCTTATAATTGTATTAGTTGCGTAACTTTGCATTTTATATTGTGATATTCGTTGTTAATTAACATATGTAAGTGTGGAGGAAAAGTTGTCTTTATTTTCTTTTTTTTGAAAATTGACAAATTTTGAAAATAGAAAGAAACAATTTGCTCACCCTTATTCAAGATTTACAAGAAGATTCTTGTCTGTGACAAATAAAAATCATTGCAAAAATAACATTAGCTTTACCCCTGCACAACCATTTTTCTTGGTCTATTTTTAAAGTCCAATAACTTACAAGAGCAGCATATACAAAAATCCCTAGGTCATTAACAAAATCCATTCTAGACTTGAAAAACCCGATATCCCAAACTACATTTTCTAGATCAAGTAGAGTCATCATCTCAGCTTGTACATGCATAACAAAACAATACAAAAATTATTGCAACAATGCAACCTCCCTTGCATCAAGTTCAACTCTGTTCCACAAAAATTTAGGCTAGCATCCATGATGTCTCCATAAATGCACCACAAACTGATATTCACTTAAACCTTTTTTATTCTTCTTCTTTTCAATTCTAGTTCTATCTACCATCAGAAGAATCAGAAGAAAGTACATGCTAGAATTATTCTTAAACATTGATAAACACCTCAGCATGTTGAGCCCCTACATTGCTTTTTTTTTAAAAAAAGAAAGGAATTTTAAAATTGAGGAACAAAAGTTTATCTCCAAACTGTACAATTTGCAAAACAAGCTCCTGACTAAGCCAAAACATATCCAAGAGCTAAAATTTCAAGGTGGGGCCTTATATACTCAATGCCTATACATACCAACACCCCCCATTTTATCTTCAAAAATATTCAAGACCTCATTTTGGAGCAAAACACCTTCCTTTGAGAGGCTATTAGCAACGTAGTTTCTCTCCCAAAAATGTGATTCACCTCCCATTTGTTTTGTCCATTCTTCATCTTTTCAATGTGAAAAATCTACTTTCGGAATTTCCATGGTGCTTAGTTGGTGCTTTAACCCATTTTACTGCATTTTTAGAGTCGCTTTAAATCACAAGGGCATGGGATAAAGCTCACTTGGAAGGTAAAAAAGATGAGAAATGACTCCTTAATGGCTTTCAATTCCACAAGACTAGTATCGCCCACTCCCATAATTTAGAGAACACTGCTCTAATCTACCTTTCTTCATTACACAAGACCCCTTACATTCTCGTTTCCCTATCACACCCTTAGGCTGCCCCATCAAGATTGACCTTTATCTCTTCATGTCCCGATTTGTATCAACCTTCCACAAGTCTATCTTTCCTCGCTTTTGTCATTATC